CTGAAGCGAGCTGAAGGCGCACCGCTGTCATCGCCCCTCCCTCGCTGGAGCCGACCCTGTGATTGATGGTGCTGGTCACCTAGCTATGTACTGTAGCTCATATTTGTTCTGCCAGGGTGAACTTTCCATGACAATTAGATCTACTATATATTATTTTGATATTGAGTGGCATGACTTGGTTGAAAGCTGGTACATTAATTGGACACTTGTGTCTGGTTAATTAGTTCTACTGTTTGAATGTACTAAGAACAGAAATACTCGATCTTGCTTTATTACTGTGGATTTCTAAACTGAATATAGTACACTTAGTGGCCAGCTGACTTATTGGTGCACATCATATATATCATGTATGGCATCTACGAAGTTTTACCATTCTCAATGTTTTCAGTTCCATTTCAATGTTAAATTGCTAATTCTTCAGGTTTGGGCGCACGTATGCTTTACAAATGCATGCTCTTCTATATACGGGACCGAATAATAATAAATAGTATATAATATGACAGCAAATGAAATTATATCTCACATGACAACAAATTGGCGAGGAGATTTAACCCTCATATATAGTTGATAGGATCCACTAGCTAGGGATTACTCCCTCCATTCCAAAATAGATGACTCAACTTTGTACTAACTTTATTACGAAGTTAGTACAAAGTTGGGTTATCTATTTTGAAACGGAGGGAGTAATACTCATGCATTACAGAATACACCGGATACAGCGGATCCAACATTAGAATGCCACATACATAACCCTCCATCTTTTTCATATCCCCGCTCGAGGCGAATGTATGGATCCCCCGTCCCCCACCGTATGCCCCAATAATTCTTGATCAACCAGAAGTTAATGCTATTGTTCAGCCTTCCATCACTGTACCTCTCATCTGTCCCATATCTGACCAGCAATACCTGGTGGGAGATGTTGCTCTTGTAGGGCCCTCTCAAGAGTCAAGACTTCCCTTTTATTTAGTACTATTTCATTCCACTCGCTGCTATCAACCCCCACCACCACCATCGGTTAAGATGCCATAGCCTGCATTAGGGCGGTTTCATTGTATTGGGGGGGGGGGGGGCTCATAACCCCCAATAACAACAATTCTGTCTGCATCGTGGCCATTCCCACCCTGCCCTGATATGGGCTATCCTCCCATGAGCAAATCCCATCAATGTGGATGATGTAATCGAACGCCCGCCTAGTGTTGCCACTTTTGTAGCCCTTTGTTGTCATTCACAGATAGCGGCAACAAGTCGTTATTCCTGATCATGTTGAGGCCCTCCACAACCCCTGCCACTGCAAAAGCCCAGCAGGATCCGCATCGTCCTTGGAACCTGACAACTGTATTTTGGTTTCATTTTGGTTTCCTCCAACTTCTCACATCAACATTGAGAATGTACTAGTACAAACAAATAAAAACATGGAATAGAATAACTAAGCAGAAAATTAGTTGGTATTAGCGAGCTACCTATCTTAACATGCAATCGAGTTGGAAATGAAATCACTCGTGGGTTTATATAGAAGGTTTCGTCTGTGCCTCAATGAATGGTAATACACACATAAGCATGAGCATGAACAAAATGGGGTGCGAAGAGCATGATAAAATCTAAATTGCAAGTACATTATAAAAACATTTTCCGCATATGCCACTGAAGAAAGTTATGAGAAATTAGTCATCATAACTTCAATGTGCCGCATGCGTATCACCCTCTTGTGCTTGTTGTTTGCTCTCATCCAATTCATGTTTCAACACGAATGTGGGGACACGAGATAAGTATGCACACATAGATCATTTTGCATTGGCCTCAATAATTGAAATATCTCACATGGATATTGAATGATACACATTACAACACAATCCGGGAAAAAGTGATGATCTTCCTGTATATGTGCATCTTTAGCTACATCGACGGGTACTTCTCTTATTCAGGTTCAGATGTTGCCTAGTGAACATAAGCATTATAAATCATGAGAAAGTTCACTCACTAATGGCTAACTTTCTCATGATTATACAGTTATACACTGTTTAACATATTCGCAGTGTATACCAGAGTTCATAGCCTCACCTAGGAACAATATTCCTGGTGCAAAGTATCAGGCCAAACTAACAGATTCATGTATCAATATTTTAAATTGCGGACTATGGAAAATAGCGGCGAGACTTCAAATCAGCTATAGCGGAGCTATAGCGGGCTTTTTATGAAGGCGTCCATTTAGCGGCACCCTGCTGAAAAGGCTATAGCGGGATATAGCGGAGTTATAGACGGCTATTTAAAACTATGTGTATGAAGGTCCAGATATAACTATAACAGAACATTGATTAAAAACATTTACAGTGCCCACTGCCAAGGGGAGAATGTCGCCATGCTAATTGAAAAGAAATACAATGATTGAACATACGTGGAAAATACAACTACTTATTATTCAAACAAGTTTAGATAAAAACATAAGGTGCTAGTGTTGGAACTGCTTTCTGATTACTGATATCACAATTCAAGATGGTAACAACTAACTGTCTTGCAAGATAATAGCTCTGCTCCATGTCTCCAATTGTTATCGTCCCCGTGAATATGTGCTGGAAGCTTTTTGCAAGTCTTTCAGAATAATACAAGTTCGGTGAGGCCTGGGCACAAACATGGAAAATAGAAGCACTGTGGTCTGTCCCATGTGCCTAAACAAGGCAAGAATATAATTCAGCCAGCACCAGTATATTCTTGCATGAAAGAATAAGCCTCTGCTCCCTCTCCTATCTTGCATAATGAAGCCATGTGGTATATTCAGAAGTTGCTAAAACACTTCACATACTTTCCTCAACTCTAGTAAAAATCAGTAGCATTTTACAATTAATTAGCCAACACATATATATTCTAAGAACTTCATCTATGAGAAAACCATCTACTTTTGTGCTAAAAAAGATCCTCTACTTTTTGCTCGTATAGAAAACATTGGAGATGCATGCTGAGCCATAAAAAAGCAATCCAGTAAATTTCGTGTCAACCAAGAATTAATTTAGCCGAAGAGTAAATGCCTGCCACAAGCGCTCCAGGATCTCGCCCACCCTCTGTAATTCGGCCTCGGACGGCATCACCTCCCAGTACCCGCAGCAAACGGCTTCGTACTCCTCTTGGATGAGATGGCTGAACTGGTCGATGCATCGGTTGTTATTGTAGACCCCGATGGCGTAGTCAGAGTTGTGCTGGTCGATGTCGCGGAGGGCCTCCTTAAATATGGTGTACCGGTGCTCCTGGTGGGCGATGGAGCTGTAGGTAACTCCTTCTTGTACCTTCCATTCCGCGAAGATCTTGCGCGTGTCCTCCTCGCTCCTCCCCCTCTCCCAGGAGAAGACGGAGTAGCCTTCGTCATGCCACCGCCGGTCGATGAGGCCGAGCCTGTGCTTGAACATGGTGTACGCGCGCTGCTCCTCCTCGGCGAGGGAGCTGTTGGTCGTGCCGTTCATGGCCTTCCACTCCGTGAAGATCTTGCGCGTGTCCTCCGCGCTCCTCCCCCTCTCCCCCTAGAAGACGGAGTAGCCGTCGTCATGCCACAGCTGGTCGATGTCGCAGAAGTCCATCTTAAAGAAGGCGTACACGTGCTGTTCCTCCTCGGCGAGGGAGCTGTTGGTTGTGCCGTGCCCGTGCCTGGCCTTCCAATCCATGAACATCCGCCACTTCTCCTCGCTCCTCGTGTCCGATGTGTTGCTCGTGGGCGGCGCCGCCGCCGCCGTCGCCAGCGACACCAGCAGCAGCAGTAGCGCTGCCGCCGCCATGATCCTCATCACGAGGCGAATTGAAGGCGCCCGAGTCGAGACGCTAGCTCCGTCGCTCGTCGAAACGCTAGCTCCGTCGCTCGTCGAAACGCTCGCTGGATCTAAGTTTGGATTGTCGATTTGGTCTGTATAGGCTGTATATTTAAATGAAGGCTAAGATCGAGAAGGACAGACGTAGACCGAGACGTACACGAATTATAATTGCCTGCAGATCTGTCGAGCTGTTGTGTGACGTGACGGACTACAATAGAATCTGAGCATGCGGTAGAAAAAATAGAAAACCGAAGCTGGACCATCGGATTAAAGATCAATGGCACATATTCGGGTGGAGCAAACTGTGCGTATATTTTGCAGAAAGGTTCATTGTTCGCAGTTAATTTGCCTTGGGTGCCCTTCTCGCCCTAAGAGCATCTCCAACACACGCGCGAAATTTATGGCGCGCAGGAAAATTTTGTGGCGCGTGAGAGGCCGCGCGGCGCGCTCCAGCAGGCGGAGTTTTTTTTGTAGCACGAAATATATTGGCACGCGTGGGGATAAGCGGCAGCGCGCGGTAGTTTCAGCGGGCGACGCCCATCGCACTGGTTACAAGTCGCGCGGCTGCGCCTGCCAACCGCCAGAAAGTACCCTCCCGCCATGCCTTCTTCCCCGCCTCTTCCAGCACCCTACCGCCATCACGCCTTCTTCCCCCGCCTCTTCTAGCGCCCAACCACCACTGCGCCTTCTCCCCCCGTCGGTTCTAGTGACTCGCCATGCCGTCGCCCACCGGAGTAGCTCGGGTTACCGCGCGTCCGTCTCTGCCCCTCCGGCGATACACGCCACGGGCTCGGACCATGCGACACTGCCCATTAGGCCGCCCGCTCGTACGACGCGGTGGCGTGGCGCCTCGGGCAGCCTCGTTCGTAGATGAATTTCTCCGACGTGCGGACGCACGAGCAGGCACAGGATCTCGCGCCTCCCTCGTGACAAACCAGCGACGAGTATCGCCACCTCCAGCGGAGCCGGGAGCGCCGCCTCCTCATCACCGAGGTGGATGAGCATGTCGTGGCTGTGTGGCGCGAGTGTTTCCCGCAGGATGTCGCTGCCGGGAACGGGTTCTGGGCACAGAGGAGGCCTGAGCGAGCCGTGCGTCGAGTGGACAAGCATGCACGCAAGGAACTGGCGGAAGCCCGGATCGAGCTGGGACCTGCGTCGACCAGGGACGATGAACATCCTCGGTGGCTCGACGTATTTACATCGTCGGGCTACACCACCGAGGAGGACGAGGAGTAGTCTAGCATCACTTTATCTATTTTTATTTAGCGTCGTATGAACTTGCTTGTGGTTTGGCTCTAGAACTATACAATGAATTTGAACAATGAATGTTTCCGTCTGTGTTGTTTCATATTTTTTCCAAGCGATGGCTGGTCGGGCGAGCTGGATTTTATCGTGCCTGGTGAAGCGCTACAGCGGCGCGCTAAATTTTGCAGGGCCTGGAAAAGCAACCACCCTCCTGCGCGCGGTAAAATGCTATTTCAATGCTTCAAAATTATTTTAGCACCCTTGTTGGAGATGCTCTAACCCGATACACCATACACAGCGACAACGCAGGAGCCAAAAAAATTTGTTGGCAGCGGCGGCGGCCCAAATCCGGAGGTAAACTGGGCAACTACGCAGAGAAGGTATTGATTTGTCTCCTTCCCGATAGATCCTAACCGTTTCTTCGCCGGCGGCGCAGGGGCGATCATAGAGCGTCGTAACCTCCCCATTTGATTCCCTGGCAGCTCGTGTAGGGCAGGCCGGCCGTCCTGGGTTCATCCTGCTCTCACGGCTAGAATCTGGCCAATGTCGTGCTCCGTGCTTCCTCCCCCTGACAAGATCCAGCAGCACCTCCCCGGCGGCAAGCCCCTGGTGCACTTCATGACCGGAGAAGAAGAGGGTGAGGTGTGGTGTATGCTTGGGGTTCGGACTGAACGTGTCTGATTTGTTTTGTGGAGATTAGCCACATAAGGGATCCAAATCAGATATATAAACACCATCCTGATGTGGGCCGGTTAAAACCTGTCCTTTGTTGAGTGTGTACAAGTGTTTGTTTGTAGCAAATGATTTTCTTACGTAGTGTCACTGTTCAATACATTTTACATTTAATTCTCAACTCCTGTCTCCAACCTAACGAGGCCTCGTCCTAGTGAAGGTTGCCTGCAGATGGTTTGTCATCCCATGCTCAACATCGCACTTGTTCGATCCAGGTCAGTTGAGGGGATTTGTTTCTGTATGCTTCCCATTCGCACTATTGTACTCACACAAACCAGGTGCATCATTATTTTCCTTCCTCCCACTTTCTCTCTTGATCTTGAGTGACAAGTTCGATGGTGCTAGTTTCTGTTCTACTATCTCTAGGAGATAGATAGGAATTGCTATTCACAACAGAAAAGTGTAAAGTCATCGTGTTATTTATAGGGCGTGACATGCGTAGACTGGACACGGTTTGGTAGACGCACTAGCTATGAGATCACCACCATCAAGTTAAAATCATGCAGCACTTTTTGCGGCCTTGTTTTATTTTTCACTGGTTTTTTCACTTTTCAAAGCATTTTGAGTTGACTTCTGTTTCCACCTTTTAAGGACATACGAGATGCTCCCTCGTTTGCTACTTTGTACAGTCCCGAAAATTATAGTGCTGAGAAATTTCGTATGTTGACACAACAAAATTCCCAAAAGGTTTAGTATGTATCTCCGACTGAGTCGGGTTGGGAGACAGATAAAGTCAGTGCTTTCTTCGTGCACCTTTCCATGTCAATCAAATTGGAAGTGTGTTTATGCTCTATATGTTGGCGATATGGATAATGCGTGGCGATTTTTTTTCATAATTGATAAAGCAGAGCTTGTTTATCTAAGAACTCCTGATCAGGAGCGCTGCTCTTGATCAGTAGCAATGTCTTCAGCTGTTCACCTTGCGAATCTGCTAGAACTGGAGATTTCTAGGTGCTTTGTTTGGTTCACGTCCTGGCTACTTGTTGTTTCAGAAAGGACGGCCATGGAAGGCGATGACTGCAACGGACAAGCGTCACAGTGGCCAATCATGGCCGGCCGCCGGCCGCTCTGCTCACTCCGTGCATGATTGCGCGTCGCTGGCTGGTAGGGTACTTGATTCCGGTACTTTTTCATGTCCGGGGAGTTGTCTACTTGGTACCGTAATATTGGCAGCCTAGCTAGTTTTCGATCAGAGAGAGTCAAGGAGTTCCGAAGCACAAATCGTTGGGCTAGAGTTGGATAACTGGCTGACAACCTGGAACTACACTCATGCATATGCTGCCACATCTATGTGTGCACACAGAGTCTTATATTCCAATTACAGGAAAACATTTGGTTTGCATAGGAGCACCCACAGTAATGCTAGCGAAACACTGTGTCAGTCTCTCATTCAAGCGCTACTGGTACTTCATTTACACAGGAAAGTATCCCCAGCAAGTTTCCCATCGCACCTCATGGTTGTGCCACCCTCGATTGGTCTCCACGTGTAGACAATTCGATTCGGCGTTCTGCTGTTCCGAGTTTAGCTGTTCGGAAGTTGAAGTCCGGCACGATAGCAGGGAGAAATGTAAATGTTGGATGTCACTGAGGATGTATTTCCATATACCTCCCATTCCCGATAACTCGCCCTGGTCAAACCCATCCTAATTATTATCCCTCACCATTTCTCCAAGCCTTGACTTCACTTCTTCCATGTCAGTGTTGGGTGCTCCTATCCTGATTATTAATACAGGTGTGAAGCTATTAAAAGAAGCCGCATGGGCATTGCTTTTGTGAGCGTAGGTTGACAGACGCCCATGGGCTTGGACGAGAGTAATCTTGTGATGTAGGACAAAGGAAACCACAGTACTATACTAAGATGCTTTTATTTAATGTTGTCTACAACTATTTAAAGAATACAACAAGATGTACCTTTTGAATATGAAGTGAAAGAAAAAGAATGGATTACAAATTACTTTGAAGGTTCTATTAAGATTGTCATCATGGCGCCACATTATGGCCGGCATCTAATAGAAATATACTCATGTTCTTAACAGGTGAATATGACGTTTTGGGGCGGTGACCCCGGACACAAACAATAGGATTTTGCTATGGGCGTTCGTGTACAAGCATGATGGATGGTGTGGGAAATGCTCAAAAGATGAAAGTCAGACCTGCAAGACTCAGGTGTCTAAATTCTGAAGCTTTTTCATGAAACTCACAATACAACCGGGTGTGCAAGAGAATCAAGGCTAGCTTGGCTCACTTCATTGTCATATTTGCCTAAAGGTTGTTTGTTTTATGTCGTGGTGGCCTACACGTACATACGGCTCGACGAGCCTGGCCAGTTTCTGGGGGTACTGCCACGACATCTTCGATTATTATCCCATTTACTTGGAAAGGCAACCAGATGACTTGTTCCAGTTAGCTGCGTTGGTATTCAGCCTTCCACCCTATTTGAGCCCTATCATGTGTAGGCTGCGAGCTGGAGGGGCCGTGCAGTCAATAATCAAGAGGCCTCCGCCTTGATTTCTGAACAGCAGTAGCAAGATTCCAGTGAGGAAGGTGGTGACAATCCCATTCGTGCGCCCCAAGAGGGAGATTGATCACACAGCTGATCTGCCTACCAACCTGGATAGTCAATAATATATGGACGAGCATCCATTGATTTGTTCATAGCAGTGAGTCAAACTACAGTCGTTGTGGCGCTCAGCACCCCGCTCGGCCCCAAACTGGCCATCACCACGCTCGTTCATCTACTTACTGTTCTTCTAGGTAGATATATACACACCATCCTGTTGTGGACCGGTTAAAACTTTTCCCCTGTTGAGTGTGCACATGTGTATACAACTGATTGTCTTACGTTGTCTCACTGTTCAAAACAATTTTCATTTAATTCTCAACTCCCATCTCCAACCTAACGAGGCCTCATCCTAGTTAAGCATACTATATTTAGATGGGGAAGTCTGTTTGTAGATGCAGTTCTACCGTACGCCTTACTGATGTGGCACTCTCAACTA